GCAATCGCCTGCTAGTCGCAGATTACGAGCGTTGCGCTAGTGGATTGAACCATGCAACAGTGGTCTGAACCAAGCATTAGTGGATCGGACGGTGTACCTGCGACTTGACAGTGTTGGAGAGTGGTCGTCCACATGTTCAGTCTCACTACTTCCCCGAGCTCTTGCCCTCTCGCTATCTCATGCCCTTGTGAGTACGGGAAAGTGGCACGAGTCAACGTGCAAACATGAGCGTACCCTACCGCCATTTTCATACAGTGTCGAGTTGCTGGTACATCGTTCGAAGCGCTGGTGCACAAGTTCGAACCGCTGGTACAACGTTCGATTCGCTGGTGCAACGCCCGTATCCCAGCGATTAGCTAGCGAATCGCTGGATTCACAATGCCTGACATAGCCAAAGGGGCTTTGGCTAGCATATCATTCGAAACAGAGAGTGACAAGAAAAACTGCGGATAGCGGACGCTGTAGCCGATTCCGAAAATTTGCAGAAAATGGAACGCAACGATGCCACGGATCAAATTGAGAGTTAGAGCGTTAGTGTTTATCTGCCTTTTTGTGGCCATCCTATGTGTGGTCACCCCAACCTATAAGCATAGGCTCAGTGCGAAGGATGTCCTCAATCAGGGTCAGTTGAAAAGTGGTACGATTCCTGTTTCTTCGCACCTAATTAATTATGCCTCGCTCCGAGGTGCGAAGCAGCCCTAATTGAGTGGGATAACTCAGAGGTCATGATGCCACCTCCACATCCGTATTGATTGAGTGAAAGCAACGAAAAAAATGAAAAAAAAATGGAAAAAATGATTAAATATTTATTTATTATCTGAGCGATATAAAGCTTCTTGTGCAAAAGGAGGATCAACAGCAATTTCAAATACAGTGGGTACCAAAAGCTATGTGGACACCGGCAGGATCAACTACATGCTTGCGCCCAAGAAGAACAGCGTTGGGGGGTCGCATTTGAACCCGCTGGAAATGGAGGCGTAAGCTCAAAGTACCAATTTAGCATCAGCATCAAGTAGCTGAGGGAGGGAAACTTTCAAACTTAACACTGGGACTAATCGGTTAAGCCACCACAAACTATTAAAATGGCCCCGATCCAGAGTTGAGATTACTTACTAAAATACGTCATGTCCCAACGAGCACAGTTGCGAAAATTCTTTCAGGAATGTCCCTCTGTCGCTCTAGACAAATCAAAGTGGAGAAGGTGCAGCTAATTCGGCTGATTGACCTCTAGGACTCCTAATAGAAACTATTTGGCAGGAGGAGTTTTCCTTTCAAGTATTCTAACATATGCCATAAAGTACTGATCTTGTTGATTTCAAAGGCTTTTACCGCTTCTCAATGTAGCAATTTGAGGAAACTTATAGCCATTTGAAGGTTGAAAACTCGCGCTTCGGGAGAATGGTCCTGAAAAAAAAACCATAGAGGGAAAGCGGAACAACGGGGCGATTTTTTGAAGAGTGATCACTCACATAAATTTCAATGATTTTTCCGAAAGCGTTTCGTTCTGCTGTCTTAAACTTAGAAATTTGCAAAACGTATAAACGTTTGCAAAATTTTTAAGGCTAATGAAGGAAGTTATGTACGTTTTTTGAACGACGAAAGCCTGCGCATTCTCGAACAATCTGACCACAAACCCTGAAAAACAGACAGCGGGACTAATTTTTGAGAAAGTTATCGTTGGAAGAATGCTCGACACTTTTTCGAAAGCGCTAGCGGATCTACTTTAAGGCATCGGCTCGCATCTCGAATTCAAAGCCTTTATGTAACTTCTATACCCTAAAATTTGAATGTCTCGGGTTAGTAGCCTGATCTATTCGATGATAATATTATCAAATATTGCGAATTACTAGGATCGTCACTCACTATCAGAGTGGCATTTTTCATTCCACACTTGTTGATTTCCCAAAGTAGTGGCTGTTGCTCAATCAATAGGGATGTGGAGGTGGCATCATGACCTCTGAGTTATCCCACTCAATTAGGGCTGCTTCGCACCTCGGAGCGAGGCATAATTAATTAGGTGCGAAGAAATGGGAATCGTACCACTTTTGACTGACCCCCTCAATCACACCACGAAATTGCGGCGCAGGTTGCGTGACCACCTCAGTCTGGGGAAGGCGCAGTTGAACTGGACAAAATCAAGCTTTGGATATTAAAATCAGTCAGAGATATTGAGACGAGATGAATATGATATGATGAATATGAGTGAAGATACTCACTGATAATGAGATGAGATCAGGTTAAATCATTAAAATGCTTAAAATAATTACGATACCTATACAATCTTCAATGGATTGGAATTCATCTTCTATCTTAACGATTTAGGTTGCAGTACAACTATTAATAGCGTCTACCCTCCGTTCCTATACATGTTAATGGTAAAAGTGTTCAATTCGCGGGCAGAAAACGCAGATGCATCCTCCGAGCCGCACCGCTCTTATGGAAGTATTTGCTTGTCCTGCAACTCTAGCCGCTTTGTTGAATTGAACTTTTTCGAGATTATCAGATAGAGGTCATGATTCCTCTGGAATAGCCTGTTAGCTCTACAGTCAAATTCGCCGTTCAGCAAAAAGTTAAACTTGCTACAGAGAGACGAGTTCCCTGGTGTGATGCAGCGCCACTTTTGGGCCCCACAGCATCGAATTTTTAATTTTTTTAATTTATTGGTTTAGAATTGAAATCAGGAGCGGTGTGGTAATGGCTTCTGAATGTCTGTTCAGTCTACGAGATTCTACTGAGCCAGTTAATGACAAAACCGTCTCCCTACCAAGCGAGATAAAAGGTGGCGGATGTTTTGCTCCGCACGCTGAAGGTTCCTCTGAAAACAGTTTCAATTAAATGACACGTGTATTGATGAAGATAGCAAAACAAAAAGGGCAATTATCGATGTTCAACGACAAGTTTTGAATTTTTCTGTGATTTTTTGTACAAAATGCATAGTTTTGGAACACTATCATGCGCCGAAAATAAACTTGCGCACCATCAATCCGGAGCTGTGGACACAACTCTCGGTTCGCTTCAATAGAGCGTTCAAGTTGCACCAATACTTCCTTGGTACTATGTTTATCCATTATACCAATTCACGCATGAGCATTGACAACTGTAGCCTTCAACTAATCAGAAACTTCGGTAAGAAGTCCACACGCCGAGCTGTGGCGAAACTGTAACCACACTATTGCCTCCATAGACATGAAGAAGAAAAGAAATCAGATGGACAAGAATTCTCGGATGCACAAATATCAGCTTCAAATGGTAGAGGGGCATTCTACAATTTTATCGAAAATGGATAAGGAAACCCTGAGTCTAGGGCAGAAACGTTACCCCCGAAATTCCTTTTATACGATTAGCCAACTTAGCCCAACATTAGGACGCATACAAAAGAGTGCTTAAAGGCAGCGATTACGATAAAGAGGGAGCGCATCGGGAAGCATATGCACCACACGAATCAGTTACTTGGCTGCCAGGGAAGCGAGGTGTAGCGCTTTCACGACGAAAGGTGCGCTGGTTGCTGAGCAGGACTTCGAAAGCACTCCGCCCCCAAAGCGATCCGCCCACTAGTTTACTTGGTGATTTGGACGAGCTGCGTTGCCAGCAGCGGCACAACTGGAGCATCTCGATTAAAGCGTGGTTTGGCATGGTGTACCAAACGCGTGTTGCGATGAACTCGTTCATACGCCCGCTTTCTGAGCTGTTACTTTTTCATGAGATGCCTTCATGCTTCATGCTTTACAGCAGCAACCCGGCAAGGGGTTTTGCGTTTTTTTTGACGGATTTTTCTGCTTTTTTCGCTACTGTCGTACCATTGACCACCACGTCATAGTGAAGCCTTCTCGAATTCATCGTAATCGCTGACTTTAAGCAATTTGGACGATATTCGGGGGAAGAACATGAGAGGATATCTCAGTTCCCTTGGTTTTGGAAATAGATTACACAACTCAATATTATAACGCTAAAACAATGTCAGCAAGTCTACCAGCGCTCCAATCGGGACCTGTCGAAAGCTGATACTATTCTATCCACCTCACAGTCATTTATATACTACATATTTGCAGCAGGAGTCTCACATTTGCTTAATTCTCTACTTTTTTTACGTTTTCTTTTTTCTTTATTTCCGAGACGACTGCGAATATCATGGCACTTTAAACACGGAAGAATTCGTACCCTTCCCTCCTTAACCCTTTTGCTCTCTTTTTGTGAACAAGTTCGAACTTCGCCGAATCCCATTTCACTTCAACAACAGCGATGACAACTATCTCAACCTCGACAGTACTTTTATTTACTACAATTTCCTGACAGCATGCCTCTATCTGAAGTACACAGAATCAATGCAATAACGTCGCGAATAGCGCTGGGGCGGAATCCCCTCAAAAAGTCTTTCAGTCAGTGCAGTTATAGCGCAATCATGTTCAGCTAAAGTACATCACCCAGCCATTATAAAAATGGATGTAGTGTGAAAATACGGACAAAATTGTCCATCAAAATGTTGCTCATTCTCCCACTACTACTTTTCTTTCTAGCGGACGCCGAAAAAATAGGTGAGTGCTACTAGTTTCATGATAATGCTTACATAGATATAACAATCTGATATGAAGACACCAGGGCACTATCGCAAGATACAGGCATTCCTTAAGATCAAGTCTGAAATGTGGAAGGACCACCGCGCAAAATAATTGCTCACGCTCCCTGGAGCTCAGCCTGCCCTCTGAGGTATAACCCTGCTTATAATAAGAAGGACAAGTTCAAAATAATGCGAACTGTCGCCACAATGCCTCCGCATCTTGCGATAGCGCCGGCATCGACTGCTAACATACAATAAAATCTCGCAAGGAACTTTAACAATTTAGAAGAAATTGACGATAAAGCGAGGAAAATGCTCCGGGAGCTCAACAAAGATTTGAATCCAGGACTGGTTGGTTTTCACGATGTTCGGCCGAGCAGTATAGACATGTTGAAACGTTAACTCAGTAGCTTTTTAATTTGTTCATCCACATGAATTCACAGAAATGGAGCACGAACTGGTGAAGTCGGCGTTTGAGGAATTGATGGGCATAAAAATGGTGCAAGTCACTGCGAAAGTCACTGCGAGACAGTGTGTACAAGTCTTCCTGTGATTTTCTTTCTCTGTACCTATTACAGAACTATTTTATCTGTTCAGCAACTTCAATACAAGTGACCATAGATCAATGGAAGAAAAAGTGTTAATAGCAGTGAGAGGGCCCCTAGATCGCAAAAAGGAGAAGGTGGGTCGAAAACTAAGCATGCCTTAAACGGCCATATACAGGGGGGGGGGGCAAAAAAAGAGTCACTTTGCCTATGGCGCATATCATCAAACTTTTCGTCGCAAAGGATGCCGCTGTTATTGGGAGTTATACGGCAAATTATTCCTTAGATGTCCCCCCATAAGCAGAATCAGGCCCACCTTCGCTGCGTTCACCGTCTCCAGAATATGACGTCATCTGTCATCACCGTCGAGCTCAAGGAGGCCTACCATAATCGCTCCATTCTGAAGCTGCTACATAAATTCTTCAATCGGATAACTGGTGAATGACTTCTTAGAGACACTAGCTCTGACTATGCAAAATGGCTTTTGACCAGCGTTTCAGAGACGTCGTAATCATCTATGGTTTCTCGACGACCCCGTTGAGCTCGTACCGCGAACCATGTTTCCGTGGGAAAATCTTCTGGTGTCGTCGGTTTAGAAGGCCACTATGCAATGTTTTTGATAGAATAGAATGTGCTCTTCAATATGCAATTGAGCTCATTCGGTTTGGTTTTGGCAAAGTGTAATTAATTCTGTTTTGAATGTGAGTAGGAGTGACTCTTTTTTTTGCCCCCCCCCTGTATAGTACTATTTCACGACTGGCGAGACAGGGTCAAGCGGCGTCGAGGAAAATTTGGGTACGACGCCCCCCCACCCCCCTCACCCTTCTAAACCCCAGAAGGACGAAGTCCATGAAACACTCTGCTTTCACAAACCCCACTAATAAAAAAGGTGCTCATCCTGTCCGTAACTTTAATCAAAGAAACTGTTAATCGAAAAAGCCCCTACCATAAAAGTTCGTTCAAGAAGTACAAAAGTGAAAAAGTCAAAGAATATCATTATTGATGAGTCCTACCAAACGAAAAGGAGCAAAAAACGACAAACTAGTCACTAAAAATGGCATACTATGACAACATCTCTTCTTTATTTATTTCCTTCCACAAGACTTACCAAATTTTAGTACTACACAGAGTATGGTTCTCAATTTACACGTCCCCTTTCAGTTGAAAGAATGGCACTATTGCACTATTACAACCAGGAGCGGTGAGATGGGTCAAAAAATAATTTTCGCTGAAACTTCGGCTATGGGGGTTATCGAGGGTCCTGATCACGAATATGATATTCATTTTTGCTGGCGCCAATTTGGCGCCATTTGGCGCCAGGTGGCGCCACGACTGATTCCCACTAAATTCGCTGTAAACTTCTGTATAGGGGTTATTTGGGGTCCTGATTACGAATATGACATTCGTTTTTGTTGTTGGCGCTATTCGGCGCCTATTTCCTGCTCGTCTGCGCCCTCGCACTAATTAGATCGCAATCAGGACTAAGCCTTTGAATAGTGGAGGGCTCCAAAGTGAGTAGGCCACTCCCCTGTGGTCTGACACACTCCAACTTTTGCCACACGGTGCGTGGTTTACCCACTCCGGAGTTTCACTCCCCTCCCCTAAGCTTAGTCTTAGGCGCTATAGGTGAGAAAGCTTAGAAAAGCAGAAAATATGCGTTAAACAGCACGAATGTCAAAAACGAGTGTCATATTCGTGATCAGGGCCCCAAATAACCCCTATACAGAAGTTTACAGCGAATTTGGTGATAATCAGTTGTGGCGCCAGCTGGCGCCAAAAATGGATGTCATATTCGTGATCAGGACCCTCGATAACCCCCATAGCAGAAGTTTCAGCGAAAATTATTTTTTGACCCATCTCGGCCCCACTGGGGTTGCAAGTGCCATAGTGCCGAAAGAAGCCATGTAATCGCCTTAGCCAGCTGGTGTTGACTGGACTTTGGCGTTGACCGTGGAGCAGCTTATTTACTATTGAAATTTGAACAAATATTCAAATGATTATAACTTTCTTCAAAGCGAAATTTTCAATCTGAAAGCAGATTTGGAAGTTTTGTGAAGAGCTCTTTCTAATCAGTATTAGTGTCAGAAAAACATTAAGGATGATTAACGAAGAAAATTCGTGATAAGTGCGAGTTCTTACGCTTTGTAAAGCTATAACTCCGTTCAAACTCAAAGTTGATACATCATCATAAACTAGAAGATTTGCTCTATTTACCAGTTTATTAAGCCGCCTAATACGTCCAGTATTCAAAAAATGACCACGTTTAAGGATTTTGCCGGAGTATCACTCTAAAAAGTAACTTGAACCGCATCAGCACTATTTCAACGACTACTATAGGTGGCTCGCAGAAGCAATTATACACAAAATAGAGCAAAGCCAAACGCCAGCGTGCTGTTTTTTCATTATCCAAACATGTGGCCAAAACTGACGAATCTTTCGCTCGCACTTTACCACTCTTTGTTCATGAATTTAACGTTTAAGGCTATATTTCTTGTTGAATAGTGGACTCCTCCCTGTAATTTCACATAAACCACTTCGTAATCCTCTTGGTTTTTCCTGAATCAAGATTTTTCTCCAGATAGGCGTAGTTAAAGCACGCTCAATGAATGCTCCTACTCTGGAGCGTGTCGTGTGCTTCACATCCCTTCAGGCTTTGTAGAAATGTATTTCAATTGCGCCATCCGAAATGAGTTCCACATAACTTTTTGCTGATGGTTCGCTCCACTACACGCGCTCCACTCCTCAATACGTGAATACGTGGGCTAAAATTGCTAGTAAATCTGTCCGAAGGCACTGGTCGGTTCTAAGAAGTTAGCTGAAAGTAAATTATTTTCACGCTCGGAATCAGGAGTGAGCAATCCACAAATCTTATGTTTTTTTAAACCTACAAAACATATTCATTCAGATAAAAAATCTTCGCAACGGTACACACTTTGGATGCAATGGCCTTATCAGGAAGAACTACACAAAAGGACATGATAGGATGGAAATCATATGTTTATATAGGACTGGAAACAATTTAGAAAAATTAACCATAGAGCGAGAATGATGCTCAAGAAGCTTAATAATGGTTGAATCCAGGACTGGTTGGTTTTCGAGATGTTCGGCCGAGCAGTATAGATAGTGTTGACACGTTACCTCAGTAGCTTTTTAACTGCTCAACCACGTGAATTCACAGAAATGGAATAACGATTTGGTGAGACTGGCGTATCGTGAATTGATGCACACAACATTCGTGAAAGCCACCGCAAAGGTCAAAGGGAAATAGTTTGTGCTAGTCTTCTTGTGATTCTTCTTTCTCTGTACCTATCACAGAATTATTTTTATATGTTCAGCGACTTCAAGACAAGTGACCGAACACCAATGGCAGTAAAGGTGATAATAACAGTGTCAACCCACTTTAATAAAAAAGAAAAAAGGTGGGTTGAAAATATTGAGAGCCTTAACCAGCCATGCAAATGCATGGCTGGCGGAGAGCGCATTCAGAGCTTGCGCTAAACTGGTGAGTAGGAGGACGGCAGAGGCGCTGACTGGACTACGCTTAATGGTCTTTGTAGAAATGTCTGAATTGCACCATTATAAATAAATAATACATGCCTTTTTTGCTGGTGGTTCGCTCTAGCTCGGATCAAGACCAATACGCGCGCAAAACTTGGTAGCAACTGTCGAAGGTCGAGGTCGGATGTGAGAAGCTCGCTTGAACTCTTTTTTTTTCACAATCCACGCTTAGAATTTAGGAGTGAACAATCCGGAAGCTTGCGTACTGCTCTACTTGCAAATTATTTAGAGATTCTTTCCATTTAATTCCACGTGTTAATGTTTCGTTTTTTTTGAAGCTGCAAGACATATTCATTCAGATAAGAGGTCTTGCCGCCGGTACACTCTTTGGATGCAACGGTATTGTCATAAAGAACTACAAGAAAACAATTAACAGGATCGAAATTGCATGTTTATATATGACAGTTAGAGAAGACAGGAGAGAGGACACGAGTGAAAATTTAATAAATATATGGACGAATAGATCCAATGATTAACCATAAACACCTGTTTTTTTCTTAATCTCTATTTCCATTTCGGAGAACAGACTCACGAGAGTTTACGGGGATCAGTGATCAAGAAGCCGCGACCAAAAAGGGGAGCAGGGTGAAGGGCAAAGTGAATCAAAGAGGCCAAATTGGAATGAGGAGAAGTTTGGATCACGCGATGCACCCTAGACTCCTAGGAGGCTTATGGTTGAGTGATGAATCCGTTTCCCCAAATTTCGTTAATTGAAAGATTTCGACTAGCAAGATCACAGAATTTTTATGGGGTAGGGGAGTAAGGCTCGAACTAGTCACAATTTTGAACGCGAACGGAAGCAGGGTCCGGTTACTTGAAGGCATGAATGGGGCATCACAAAAATTCAGAATCGCTTAGAGTGCAGAATACTTACTGAGTTCAGATTCTGATTTTCTCATCTTCTCTCATGACATCGCTTTAGTACACCCTGTTGAATGATGCGTACAGGTTGAAATAGTGTTAGGACGGATAGTCTCCTGAAATAGAGCTGGTGCATGGCTTCCCCAGGCGCGTGGGAAAAAGGCTGAAAGCCGAATCCAGTCGTCAGATAACGTTAATTGCAAGTTCTTTGGTTGGAAGCTCAGGCAAAACGATCGAGAATCCGGAAACTGATGCAAGATGTTCATAGATCGAAATTTTGGGATACTTTATCAAGTGTTTATAGAGAAGATTTCTGACCTATCTCACCCCCACTTGAGGTTAACCATTTCTCTGTTACGCGCGCTTCAGCAACATTTTGACTGATCAGTTGAGCATCAGCTTCTCCTCTTCGCCCTGGGCGTGAATGAAGATTCACTTTCAACGTCTGGCTGTGGATCCCATTGGCATCTCGTATAACATAGACTGGTCAACATATTCGCAATTGCGCTAAGATGTTGGTAAGCGAATCCTGTTCTGAAACAGATTTTTCAGATAGATGTAAATAGTGCAATTCGGCGGCGAGGTTGAGCTACAAGATTTTGTCCATCAACTTAAGGCATTCGAAAGGGGGTTTCGGAAGGAGTGGCAGAATGGATCATTTTATCGCCATTGCGATCATTAGGTTACTTATTACCTCCGCGTTCGCAGACCGCTGTCTCTTCCGGCAGGGGCGACGATTTGAACTTAACGACGACTGCGACATATTTTAAACTCAAAGAAATGGTTAGACAACAAAAGAACATTTTGAACAAACCGACAAAAATAAACAAAAACAACACACAAAATATAAGGAAACAATTTTTATCGTGGAATGCTAAGCTACTCGAGGCTGGGGTGATAGTAAAGATATGATATTAGGAAGTGAGAAGGATGGGAAAGGATGATTGGCTTGCTTGTCAAAGCGCGTTCCGAAGGAGTAATGGCTTAGAAACAGTTCGGGGTTTATAGGAGCAAAAAAGCATTTAGTAATAAGAATGTAACGCGAGGGCAGCGGCAGCCAATTAATCGCTGCACTACTTTTACTACCATAGCATTGTGACAGTCGAAAAGCTCCATTATAGGAGAGGAACGCAAAATGCCTTCTCACTCTCTCTCACGACTATTATAGGTTCTTGTGAGGGGTCCCAGGTGTACAATTTCTCGAAGACGATGGTCATTGCGGCAACTTCTTTGATGACACATATGAAGGGTGTAGAAATACGGTCACAAGAAAAATTGGATGAAGAACCTCAGGCCTGAGTAATGTACATAGTGAGTAAAAACTACGGTAACAAGAGCACTGACAAAACATCTCGATTTCCTTCGAACCTAAGAATGCATCTGGCTCAAGAGGCCCCGGAGAGAAATCACAGGACACATCAGCAAGATCGGCCGCTTGTACAAAAAGCATGTTGTGCAACATCGGTTCTGCAGAACCTATCCCTAATTTATCATGGAATTTTTCGGGACTGCATTAATTCCTAACTAAAACTTACGAATATTCATTCAGGTGGAGAAAACTCCCCTGGTACACGTTACAGATGCGATGGCATTTCCGACAGAAGGGTATTCCTTGAAAAGATGAAAATCACGGCGGTGTTACATTTTTATCAGTCTGCCCCCATTTGAATTTTCAATGTGAGCATGTGAAGACGCTGAACTACGAGTCCATTATCTCGGAAAGTTCTGATTTGTCAGGGCGGTAATCCTGGACATGAGCAGCGTCGCTTAGCACTTGAGGCAGAAGTTCCAAGTGCTCCTATTTTTTGGGGCTATATATTGTTTATACAGCCGGTTCAAGACCGATAACTTAAATTGATTCTAAATTCGCGAGCCGGACAACAAGTGTTGCCTCTTCAGAAACGAAGTTGGGAAGAACTGCTCTTTGGCAAACGGATGCGCTGACTTGAATTCTCAAGTTTTAATAACCTGTGTGTCGTTTACTTAAGGAGAAATCTGCGTCGAGGAAATGACGAGGAGTTTTTTCTTCACTCAAAAACCAGATTCATTCCACATCATTGCAAGGTAATCTCACTGAAACCTCTCAAAATGCCTCAGGGACGCATCGCTTCACCGTCGCTGGTACAACTAGATACGCTCAGCGCCGTTTAGCTTCGGTCGAGTATACGCCATGCCGTCGGTCTTCGCTCGTAAGTTTAAGTCAATTGAAAGGTTTTGTGTGCGCATGAAGACTTGCTAATAAAAACGGAAGTGTTCTCTGCGGTGACTAAACGTGGGAATTCTTCCAATCACGGTCCAGCCTCAGTTGCTTACACTTGCAATTTAGGCGATAAACAGAAACTTGTAAATCTTTATGTCACGCACTCAATGACGGTTTATGGACTGAGTGGTAGAGGAGATGCCGATACAGTTCGAGATACAAAACATGATCGAGAAAACACTGAAGCCTCAATATTCTCCTCAGGCACTTTTAACGACCTAGATTAACAGTGGACATTTTATCTTTCAATAAAATGTTGCGGTGCTTCGTCTTTCTTTCCCGTCGTTTTACTTCACGCCTTCTGAGATGATCAGGTACATAACCACGAGGAGGGCTGAAGAGCATGGCGATGGGACCTGCTACTAATGAATCCTATTACATTCCCTTACGCATTGAGGTTTAACGAGAGAGGTGGTAAGACGCCCCCCCCTTCGCCCACTTCCGCTAAACCTGCTGTAGACTGTATGTAGGATGCGGATAAAATGAACGTAAAATGAAATGTATTTTATAGAAGACAGCAAGGGCAGCATGGATCAGAAATCAACAAATGAACAATCTAATAAGAACAGAATTGTAGGACTGAGCGCCATTCCAGGCGAGATGCAGTACACCTTGCCATGCACCTTCAGACTTTCATCACGAACCTGTTTCCGTATCTTGCACGTATCAGCAGGCTCCGTCAGCAAGTCATAAAAGATGAAACGAAAACAGTGCTTGGAACTGAATGGCAGCCTACTGCATAATGTGCCGGCTTCGATTCTACACGTGCAGGGCCAAGGTTTCGAGCCCGGCATATTTTGGCATTTTTTACAAGTGTTAACTTTGCGTTTTAACACCGTTCTGCAGGTAACCCGATTTTGCCGGAAATTGTTTTTTGTGAAGGCATGGAACCGCTCTAACAACTCAGTCACGACCACATATGGCCTCGTTTCTTCGGCACACCAAACTATATATTAGAGCACCAATAATGATTAAAGCAGAAATAATGATGAAAATGGATCTGCGATATATGCCTTGGGTATAGAAGAAAGCAAGCAAACGTATTGTGATATAAAGTTTCAGGGATCTTCAGTTTAATATGTTGCCGACAAAAGCCTGATCCACAATGGTGAAAGGATCATTGCTTGTATAATACAAGAACCGGTTTCTTCCTGATGTTTAACTACTATTTGTTGTTAACTCGCTGCTTCTCGAAAGTTTTCTTGCGAAGTTGAATAAATAATTCAGCAATTATCCGAACTTTTTTCGGTGCGTGGCAACGTGCGACTTTTCACACCGTTTGACCGTCATATACTCTTACAAATCAATCTCGGATTTTGAAAAGCTGGACCTAAATTTGACAAGCTCCAGGATTGATACGTGTATCAAAAGCTTGCCGAACGTGCCGAAAGTCAGCGTTTCAAAAATTGTAGTTGCCGTTGCGATTTGGAAGGGCATTATCCGATATTACCAAGAATCCCACTGCCGGCCACCGAGAGAGTACGACCTCCCTAAAGCTCAACCAAGTACGACCCCCCGTTGGTACTTGTAGCAACATAGGGTTGACCCTGGTACCACGAGGTCCTTTTACGCGATTCTTAAAAGTTTGCCACTTGTTTATGAAAACTCGATTTTCAATGTATTGCACTATTTGTTACGACTGTTGACTCACGATATGGTAGTGTTTTGTTTTTGTATATGTGGGCTTAAGGAAGGGCTTGAAGCCTGAAACGTTGTTGCCTAAAAGGACTCCGAAGAGATATAAGGGATCGGTGAAACTGGTAGTTTGCCGAAAGTTTTTGGCGATTACAAACGTACATATGTATTGCAGAATGTTAGAAGTACCTCTATTTTATGAGTGAAACTTCATATTGTCTCGTTTCCTGCTCTCTGAGCAAGACAGAGTGTGCGACATAACAACTTCCCGCTGGACACCACCTCTTTCTATGTTGATGAATTCTTGTGCATTAGTGGTGGGTGTAAAAATAAAAAAGGCATAAATAGCCAGGGGGTCGTGCTGATACCCTCTGAACCGAGGAGGTCGTAAAAATTTTGAAATCTGCGCAACGCATGGTTGACCCCGACTGCAGAACCAGTTAATGGACATATCAGTGTTTCTACCCTCGAAGAGTAAGGAAGGTCGGCAATGAGGAAGTAACGAATTTCGTGTTGAGCATGATTCAAGCCCCACATAATGAAAATTTTGCCATTCATCGAAAACAGTTTTCATCCAATTACACGTGAAATTATGAGCCCCCAACAAAAAGGGCAAAGTTCGAATGTTCAACGGCAATTTTCATTTTCTCTGTACCTTTTGTGTACGAAATGTATGTCTGTAGAGCACTATCATACGCTGTAAAAAAACAAATCAATGCA